TTTGAGGTACAAAATCTTATCATCACTTCCATTCTGCGACGTCTTTTTTCATCTCCTCAAAACTATTGTCGTCGGGACGCCAGTCCGACTTCCATACAACGCGCCAAATGACATTAGTTTAGTTGCGCCACGTCCTGCTAAAGCAGCTGATCAGCCAAGTCTGGCGCCTACCTTATACTCAGTATCATCTACTCCTTATTCTAGTACAATAAACGTGATAAATGCTTCAAAGCCTTCCCACAACAAGTACAGTGAATGACGCACAAGCAAAGTAAACAAAATGAGCAAACACTAACTGGTCATTCCATTCTGTTGTTGTTGTTCCCGTTGCTCGTCTTTCCTCTCGGCTTCGGCACGTTCAAGGCGTTCCAACTGAAGAATTAGGGTAGTGACCACAAAGGGAGCCAACCGAAAATAACTTACGCGGATCTGGAAGTCTCGGAACACTTGGACCATGTAGGGCATAGCATAGTCGGTGATCTTATTCTTCCAGGCCAATTCGAGGATAACATGGGGGTGAAGAAGATCATAGCAATGGTACAGGGCAGCAGCAAAGCATTCATATAAGCGCTCCTCAAGGAAGAATGCAATCAGCTCCTCCGCCAATTCACTACTTCTCGACTCAGCGGCATATTCCATGGCATCCTTGAAAGAAATTATTTTCGTAAAGATAACACGGATACACAAAAATGTGAATTCAAACCTTATAAAGCTTATCCTTCTTGCACAACTCGATAGATTGCTTCCATCGGTTGTTACCCTTGAACAGATAAGCGGAGATTCGTCGAAACTCAACAAGCGGATGATTCTCCAACTGTTGAGCCAAAGCAATGTTATCGAAGTTATCATGTGAATCGATCGATGCTCGCAAGCCAGCATGATCCTCCTGTGAAAATAAACATCAGCAACATAGATAAATCAAGCAAAAGCAGCAGAAGGTAACCAACCTCATCGATGAGGAGCTGGTTAAGTGCTTCATTGATGGCTTTGTTGTTGAGATTTTGCACTTGTTTCAGGTATGGCTTGATCAGTGGAATATGCTTCACTAAAAGTAGACAAATGATCACAGTCAAGAGGATATCGTAATAATTGATTAGATTGTCCCAAAAGCTAACTCCTTTCCTAGATACAAGCTGTTTTTGATTTCCAAGACTCATATTATTTAACGAAGCGAAGCAAACTCTATAAAATGACAGCCATATTCTGCGTTATCCAGGCAAAGTACGAAGACAAATCAAAAATATTATCATCTAAGAAATAGATTTTTGCAAGTAAAAATCCTACCGACCTCCAACTTGGTCATTAAGGACACATAGTAGTACTCAAATACATCTTTACTGGATTTTT